ACGCCGTCTAGGTATCCCTGATACGGACATGCAGTGGCAGGGTCGCCGTTGAAGATCTCGCCAACGCTGTACACACCTGCCGCGCTGACGTATCCCGTGAAGAAGTCTGGTTCGACTTCGAGAGCACTGTCAATGCGAAGACCGTCAACTGTGCAGTTTGAGTCAGCATATAGTCCCTATAAGCTCAGGTGACATGGAGATCGTACTTGAGTAGTTGGCGACGAGTTGCTCAATCCAATCGTACCAGATCGTCCTGACGTCCGACTGCGTCGTGTACAGATCAGGCAGAGAGACGATCGTATCGCCTTCCCAGCAGGTCCGGACCTGATCGATATCATCCCAATCGGTAATGAGGCAGTACGAGTGAAAGTACGACGAGGAGTCGAAGGCATCAAAGACACTGTAGTCTACGCTATCTCCTGAACCAGCATAACCCTGGATTTCCGGTCAGTTGGGCGCCCGACCTTGGAGGAGACAAACCTACCATATGGTTTGGCACTACGTCAACCATGAGATACATGTCCCGTTCATGCAAGGCAGCAGACAGAGCTTTCAAGTCATCTGCGGTGCCAAAGTTGGAGTTCAACGAATAGCTGCCCCTCTCGGTCAATTATGGTATGCAAGTCATGGGCGACAGAGTGCCTTACATCTTCTGTTGCCAGTATCCATGATAGGACTCGCCATCCGCAGTATTGGCTGACAGCTGCTCGGTGACGGGCGAGATCCAGACGGCTGTGAAGCCCATGCCTTGGATATAATCCAGCTGCGTGAACAAGTTAGATCCCTCATGTCGAAACTGTGCATTGCGGAGTGGCTTACGTGGTTGATGATTCCCTGCCATGTTCCACCACAATAAACCTAGCGAGGTCAGAGAATTGCTCGTAGTGGTAGCCGTATGGCCCAGACTTACCTGATCCCCTGTATTACATGTCGCAGTTGTCGAATTATCAGTCCTGCCGAACCGATCCGTCAAAAGAAAATAGATGGATTGAGTCCGCCATTCCGCTGCAGACAAACCGCGAACAAGATTGCCCAAGAGAGGCAGAGATACAAGGGTCTGAAGCGCCGAAAACCTCATCTTCGCAGATAATTGCGATTGAAGTTGTCAGGGGCTGGTGGTCAGCCACGGCATTGTTGTCTTCGGCAATTCCATCTTATATGTCATTTCCGGTGCCCCAAAAGCAGCTTGGGCCTTCTCAATTGCTAGACGGACGGATGACCGGATGACTTTCTGCAGTCTCCGTCTTTTCCTCTTCTCGCCTATGATCTACTGTTTTCTTGCATCGTTGCCTGCCAGGGACGGTCTTATGCGAGCGAGTTGATTGGTTCAAGCTCCGATCGAGCAGGATTTCTGCAGCCGAAGCACAAGCTAGCCAATGAATCACATCTAGGAAGTGGCCTTATGTCCGATCATGCAGATGCGAAACATCAAGAGATTGGCTGCAGAACGCCCGCTATTGTCCAGATGGACATTGCCTTGTCTGCAGAAGAGTGATGGCCGGGGTGTTGAGCGAATTAGGGGGCAAGGGATGTGGAGGAAGCGAAATGAAAGGTTGCAAAGAGAAGGAAGGGGCCCAAGCCTCGGCACTTTGGAAGAAGCCTAATTTTATTAAACAACATCAAACCACCCCGCATTCAATTCCGAACAGCTGTGGGGTGAACATCGGCCAAACCTATGATCAAGCTCTCGCGTCTTTTGGCTCTGAGGCATTTTCTGTCTTGACTGCCAGTCTAAGTTGGCCTTGGTCACGGATGGTGCCTACTGCTTTCACTTAGTTACCTCTAACAGGTTCTTGATTCATTCTAATCCAGTGCAAACCGGGCTTAGCACTTTTTCTACATATCCAAGGCTTTCCAATGCCTGCGTTCATGTGAGGGTATCGTTTTTACAATTGATGCTTTCGGACTGTCCAGCCCACCAACGACCCGAGCAGCGAAAGAGACAGAGCAAACACTAGAAGAGACACGGTAAGTATGTAAGACAAATGTTGGTCCGCCATTTCAACTTACAGTATGTGTACTTGAGTCCCGTAACGTACCCGCGGACCACAATACCGTGAACATGTCCACTGAGCCCGTTGATATAATCTGTATCAGATAGAGCCCGTTCGATCATCTGCAGTCAACGAATCAGCATAAATGAAATCACGCAGCACAGGATGCGCATTGGCCCAATTACCTTCTTTGCTCCGGGCCCTGTTAGATTCTGCTCCAGCTGGTGCTTGAAGACGGTCCCCAGCACACTGTTCGTGACAGTCACACCAGCAGTCATCGCGAAGTTGAACAGCAGAAAGTAGCCTCCAGTGGCCATGGCAATCTCCTGAGGCACAAGGAAGGTAGTCATACTAACAAAGGCCGCAGCCGACGCGAAGCCAGTTCCCATCCCGCCCGGAACGATATACAATGATTCCCAAAAGCCCGTGTTGCCATTCCACCGGAGGAAAAGCAGGAAGTAAGTGACCGACGCAACTAGCCCAGCCACGATCAAGAAGACCTTGAACTGGCCTGTTCGTCGGATGGAGGCACCGGCGATCAAGCCACCCAGCGTATTGCCGATCACTGCAGGAACAAGATGCCCGCCCGCGACTGTGGCCGAGGCGCGAGATGTGACCTGGAAGTATAAGGGAACTGAGAACATCATACCAACCTGCGCGGTGATTTGCAGAGCTCCGATGAGATAACTGGGAAGCACGTTGGTGCGGCGCAAGATGCGCAGATCGAAGATGGGCTCTGGAGCCACATGAAGCTCGACAATAATGAACGAAACAAATGCAACCACGCTAGTGGTGCCAAGATAAGCAGTAGTAAGAGAGACCCAAGCAAAGGCCTTTCCAGCTTGATCGAGAATGAGAGTCGTGGTAATGATACCAACGGCGAGGAGAGACGTCCCAAGGAAGTCGACCCTGCGAATATCCTTGTTTGTGGTCGGGGTGGTAAGCTTGAGCTTCCACACGACGAGCAAGGCAGCCACCACGGTGAGAGGGCCCTGAAGAAGAAATGACCTGTCAAACAGTCAGGTTGCGGAACGGAATCAAGTGATAGACTGCAATGCTCACCATCGCCAGCCAACGGTATCTGCTAGCCATCCACCAATCGGACCTCCTGCGCTTCGACCCAGGGTCATGGCGATATTGACATACGCACGCCAATGGGCCACATCTCGCCGGGGAACAATATCTGCGAGGCGTTTAGCAACCATGATCAAAGTTGGCCATGACGTTGTCCATCCCACCTGTAATGATAATCACACCCATCGCCATTGTTCCAGCACCGCCCAAGCCACTGATGGCACGCCCCAGAATCACAGTTAACATGCTCGAGCCGATCCCACTAGAATGACTTAAGTCAGAGCGATTCTCCTAAACGTGGTTGCAAGGGACGTAGAACTCACCTAATGATACATCCGAGGCCGAAGAGAAAGTACGCCCAGAGCAACAGCGGCTTGCGGCCATAGATATCACTCAACTTTCCGTACTAGCAGGCCACAGCTGTCAGCGCATCATTCGAAGCCATAGAAATATGTTAGCTCACCATGGGTTGTGCCGCGCAGAGGCCGAGCGTGAAAGCTGTGGCCAGCCAGCTGGCATCACGCAAACGATCGAATTCGGACGAGATCTTCCCCGTCGTAGCCATAACGAGAGTGGTGTCTGCATTGGAGATAAATTCACCTACTCAAGGTCAGCGTTGAGCGAAATCATGATCAAGCCAGTCGTTCTGTCATACCCAGTAGCAATACAGCGATAATTGTCTTGACACTAGCCAACGCCTGCACTTTGTTGTTCTCCGAGGACTCTGCTGGACTGACTAGCGGACGTTCTTCGTCCGTGTCATGGCTGCTTTGGACATCACTTGTTGACCCTTTGAAGACAGTTTGGTAATTCGATACATTTGTGACATTTGTATCCAAAGCTGCTGGATTCAGGGGGGTGGTCTCATCCACATTCCTATCCGCCCTCAACGTCTCTGAGCTGCCCGATGCAATCGTCATCGTTGCCAGAGCTAGCCAGGCTGTGCTCGTACGGGGAGATTCTCAGGTCGATAGTGAAGCAAGTCCTTGCTTGGAGCTGCGTCAAGGGGGAGAGTGAGGAAGAAGGAGGGGATGACTGCTCGCGTAGAAAAAAAAAAGCTCCAACCCGATGGAGTCATTTCGAGCGCGCCTTCATTAAATGACATGCGGAGCTACGTGATAAAAAGTTCGCTTATCGCAAGATGTCCAGGCCTTCATGACCATTGCGCGACAGTATTGGCTGGCCATCATTAACTATCCGGAAGAGCCGATGACACCATCGGGGGAGAAAAACAGAATTCACTGAATTAGTACCCACATGGCCACGCCCTGGATCGGAGGAGCTCGTGGCCCAAGCCTTCTCATGGTTGATGGCTGCAAATGACAGGGCAGAACCAGGGTGGGAGAAGGTGATTGTGGTGGAGGAGCACGCCATGCTTGCCGTCGATGGCGAGGTGACTAGCGTCACTTTTCAACTGCTCAGGGACAGACACAGGAAACGCCACCTCGGCTATATACTATAGAAGCTGAGGTAAGCGGATCTTGATAGCTAATTATATATAAATAGTGTCGCTTGTGGTTCCCTTGATTTTGAGGGGTGCGCATGGTTTGAGTCGCTGGCTGGAGCAGCATGGCATGGATGGCATCTTGAAGGAGTCGAATTGGTGGTGGTTATTTATCGAGTTCGGTAGTATAGGAAGTGTGGACTTAGGACTTTGACAGTGAGAGCATAACACAACAAATAACTTTGAGATCAGGGCTCAGAACCATTCATGAGATCAGACATACATCCAATCTAAGATCAATTGAGCAGGGGGAACACCAGAAAACGTGAGTGATTTGTAGAAGAGAACGATAGGTCAAGACAAAACCAAGATTGTGGGGAAGTAAGACCCTGCTTAGTCATGGGCTACAATGACAGCAGGCCCACCCCACCGCTTTCTTGACCGCCTCATGATTGTCCCCGGGCTTTTGCTCCCCCTTGGCTTGTTCTTTCATTCAGCAAAGACCCTGACTCGCTTTATCCTCATTATCAACGGTCGCAACCTCTGGCCTGCCTTGTAGGCTGTAATAGCGACTTTTCACTGGACTATCTGACCCCGAAATGAAGTTGATCCCTCCTTAAAGCACGGTTGACCGATTGCATTGCGCACGGAGCGCTACCGCTGACATCGTGTCCTTGCCTTCCTCGATTGCGACCCTGGTTTCCTCAATGCTCCGCACGGAAGACGACGCAGATCTAGCGGCTGATTCAAGATCTATACGCAATGACTCGCCAAGAACGGTAGCCAATATAGACGGCATGCGTGAAAGTCACAACGAACGAGGGCGGGACTTCGTTAACGGCGAGGCGACAGGCTCGTCTCAGCAGGAATGGACACCAGCAACACCACAAAGCCCAGAAGCAGATGATGCATTGGCCTCTGGAATTCAAAGCCCAAATTCACCAAAAACAAAGCGACCAACAGTCTTGAGTGGTGTGAATCAACCCGTGGAGATTGACGAACAGCCCGTGGTGGGCTCCGATGCGCAATGCGGACAAACGCCGGCGCCGGACGCTACAGCGACTTACGCCAACCGGATTAATTCTAGGGCCACCTTGCTGCCAGATGGAGTCGGTGACAGCTCTGAACACGATTCTAACGGAATACCCAGCCAACATACCCCCTGCGTCGACCGGAAAAGCGGTCAGTTCGCGCTGGCGTCGGATCAAGTGCTAGGGATGGTATTTGAGCATTCGGAGGAGCCCCCCCGAACCCCAGGTCGTCGCACGACTTCGAGAACATCCCTAGTGGATGTCTTCGAAGGCTCGACAGCGCATTCAACGCTCACCGAGTGGTCGCGAGACACATCCCCTTCCAGGAACCACGACAAGGACCCAGACCGCGTGCTAAAATTATCTCCCGCCAAGATGCAGGAACTCACATCCTCACCGCAGTCTATCCCGTATCGTGCAGCGCCACCGGAGCAATCAGAACGCGGACGACGGGCAGTATCGGATGGAACGCATGGAGCAGCTGCGCAGTTTGAAACGCCAGAGCCCACAAGCCTGCCGTCTGTGGATGAACGTAACTTTACATCCGATACTCTACCTAAACTCCGTCTGCCCAAAGATCTTTCCATCGACACCTCGACCGTCTCGACTGGGAGAACACCTGCGTCATCCTCTTCGCGAAATCGACCATCAAACTCACGGGCGGTGTCAACACCTAGCTCACGCCGACAGACCTTGCCGGCGACGAACGACAGGCTGGCTCAGACATGGGCGTCTCGCACAAAACAAGATCGCCTTTCGATCACTCGGGAATCGGATTCGAAACACCTTGAACCTTCCCCACAGATGAAAGAACAGGCCTTGCCTTCACCGATGCCCCCGAATATCCCTCTGCCGCCTTTATCCGTTCCAACTTACCTCCAGTTAGAGCTGGCATCGGGTCGCCCATCACCGCTGTACATTCACCGCTCTGCAATGACCGACTTCCCTTACGAGTCTTCTCGAGTCAAGCTTGAAAGACTCATGAATTTCCTGATGCTGCCGCCGGCGGTAGAGCAGGTACTCTGGTTCGGTATATTGGCATGTCTAGACGCGTGGTTGCATTCTTTTACCATTCTCCCGCTCCGGTTTCTGAAGGCTTTGTACATACTCGTTGAGTCATGGATTTTGAACTTGGGTGTAGAGTTTCGGTACGTGTCTGGCTTCGTTATCAAAGGCGTGGGCCGGGTATGGCGCAGGCGCAACAGGACCGCATCTATCGACGAGCCACCGCGTGGCTTCGACGTGGGACGCTCACACAAAGGCGAAACGGCAACCGGAGAACGAGATTCCAGCGCCAAGGCAACCGAGTCTCGAAAAAGGCACCGATCTCACGGACACCGAGCGCAGCATCGGCGGCAGAAGAGTATACCGTCAGCTCTAATGCCAGACGACAAGGCCGACATCCTCAAGGGCTTGCTCATGATCGCTACCTGCTGCGTTCTGATGCGCTTCGATGCGAGCCGGATGTACCACTGGATTCGTGGACAGGCAGCTATCAAGCTGTACGTGATCTACAATGTGCTAGAAGTCAGCGATCGACTGTTTGGCGCCATCGGTCAGGACGTGCTTGAGTGCCTATTCTCGCGTGAAGCGCTGGAGCGGCGACCCGACGGCCGCAGCAAGATCTTCCGGCCGTTTGGGCTCTTCTTGCTGGCGTTAGGCTACACAGTCATTCATTCGACAGCACTGTTCTATCAGGTGATGACGCTGAACGTTGCGGTGAACTCTTACTCCAATGCGCTGATCACCCTGTTGCTCTCCAATCAATTTGTCGAGATCAAGTCCACGGTCTTCAAAAAATTCGAAAAGGAGAACCTCTTCCAGCTCACCTGCGCGGACGTGGTAGAACGCTTCCAACTCTGGCTCATGCTGACGATCATCGCATCGCGCAACATTGTGGAAACTGGGGCATTCAATATCTTCAGTGGGTTGGGATCTAGCCTCACTTCAACCAGCACCAACAGCACGCCGCTGTCGACTCCACCACGAACTGCATCCTCGATCCTCCCGCAGGCCTTCACAATCGTCCCGTCATCTATCATTGCCTCCTTCAGCCATGCCAATTCCTACCTCCCGACGCTGGCGCAAGTCCTAGGACCCTTCCTCGTCGTCTTGGGCTCGGAGATGCTAGTCGACTGGCTCAAGCACGCGTACATCAACAAGTTCAACAACACCCGACCGGCCATCTACGGTCGCTTTCTGGACATTTTGGCCAAGGACTACTACACGAATGCGTTCGCGGACCAAAACCTCATGCGCCGGCTCGGACTGCCCGTGATCCCACTATCCTGCCTCTTCTTTCGCGTCAGCGTCCAGACCTACCAGATGTTTATCGCCGCCTTACTCCCCCAGCAGCCCGCCTCGTCCACCGCGGTCGAAGCCACCTCCCTCACGGCCATCCACAGCCAATACGTCCCCGCGCCCATGCCCTCCCCTCCCCCGCTCACCTTCCGGAATTTTATCCCCACCTCGACCGCCTACGCCGGGGCCTGGTTCCGCCAGATGCTCGCCAACACCATGCCCACCCCGGCCTCATCCGTCTACATCTTTACCATCGTCCTCATCTTGACCGGCTACGTCGTCCTCCTGATCCTCAAGTTACTGCTCGGCATGCTCCTCCTCGCGCTGGCCCGCTCCCGGTACAAGGCCATGAAACTGCGCGAGGCAGAACAGCAAGCCCACCCCACCGCCGTCCCAGCCTCAACCTCCTCCACGGCCGGCGGATCAGGGCCCACAGCCGTTACCACAAACGAGCCTGCTCCCTCCGGAATCACTGCTCCGGCTGCCGCGCCAACAGCAGCAGCAGCACAGCCCCGTCCCCGCGAATTCGCCGTCGAGGGGAGCCGTCGAGTCGGCGGATGGGGCGTCGTCGAGGTGAACGACGATCACCGGCGGTGGATCTACGCCGATGACCCGGATGGTCTGCGGAGACTCAAAGCGAAGGAGGAGAAGGACGCGAAGGCTGGTGGTGGCAAGGAGGAGCTGCATCTGGATCACGTGCAGCGGTACGAGATGGTCGCCAAGCGGATCTGGTGAGGTTGTCGGTGATTAGACATCCAGTGCCTGGCGGGGATTGATGTGTATATTCTTAGCCCTGCCATCTACCGCCGTGGTTGGCTGTGCCAAATGTATGTATAGTCATGATAGAGTATTCTACACGCTGTTTGTCTTTGTGAGCGACAGCTTAGTGCAATGGCACTGCCATTCAACGACTGCCCAACCATACACCACACTAGGCAACTACTTGACACAGATGTAATACTACAATGCACTGATTCAATGCACCAAAATAAGTTAAGCCACTAAGCACAGCAAATCTATAAGCCACACAAGAAGTCTATATACAAAACATCCACCCCCAGAGCCGAGCCCAACAAGTCCTTCATGCCCATAAAACCCACATAAATAAAACAAGAAGAAAAACAAGGGGGGGGGTATACGACAAATCAAGTTGAGTTGAAGTCGCTGACAATCCACATGAAAACCCGCTGAAATAAGAAAAAAACCAAATAAGGGCGTAATAGTCGACGACAAAAAGGAAAGAAAAAAAAACGAGGTTGAATCATTTAGATTAAGGCCGTTGAAGACATTAGGTATCATCCGTGGTTGAAAAAGCTTTCACATCATATCCTGAGACAGGAGATGAGGGGAAATCGATGAAACGTTAAGCTTTAGGAGTTTGAAGTAAAAGGGCTTAGAGATGGTGACGGACTTCCGAGACGGCGTCGCCATGCATTTCTATTTACGGGTGTTAGTGCCCTGTTCGGAGGTTCCTTCGCATGAGAGGGATTTGTTTTGAGCGGGAGAGCTTACCATTCCACACGTCCAGGGCGGCTTTCTCGGCATCCCACCCCCAGAGACGTCTCTGGGTTTCGCGATCGGACCAGCGATCGGGGTTGGAGCCGCTGGTCAGCGAGGTCCGGAACTGTTCGTCGCGGGCGATCTGGTCGGGCCCGTCGGGGAAGTGCAGGGTGATGCGGTTCTCGGAGCCGGACTGCTGCACGGTCTCGGCGCGGGATTTGCGCGACTGCTCGTAGGCGCGCAGGGCGGCGGGGATGGCGGCGCGCGAGGGGATGGTGGAGAGGAGGATGCCGAGGGCGGCGGCGTCTTCGACGGCTTGCGCGGCGCCTTGGGCGACGTAGGGACTAGTTCTAGGGGTTAGTGAAGTGACTTGGGTGGGAAAGGGGAACGTGTGTGGTAGCGTGGGGCGATGGCGTACAGCATCGGATGGCAGGCATCGCCGATCAAGGCAACGTTACCCCGGATCCAGGTCTTCAAGGGCGCGTGAAGGCAGAGCTTCCACTCGAGAACCTCGTCGTCGGGCACTAGGTCGATGAGCTTCGTCACGCGACTGTCCCAGCCCCGGTAGTTGTCGATCATGGCCTGCTTGGAGCCCTTGGTAGTCCAGGACTCTTCGACACCGTGGCTGTCGGGGTGCAGCAACACGACATTGTAGAGCTCGTGGTTGCGCACGGGGTACGCGATGATGTGGCGATTGGGACCGAGCCAACGCGTGGCTTGGGGCTCGTCCATCAGGGCCTTCAACTCGGGATCACTTTCGAGCGCGCTGCGAGGAAGCATGATCCGGTAGGCGGCATCGCCCGTGGGGATGGCCTTGCAGGAGTAGTCGTTGAGGAGCTGACCCCGGATGCCGGATTTGATGCCGTCCGCGGCAATGACAACGTCGCCCTTGACGACGGTGCCGCCCGCGAGCGTCACCGCTGCCGGGTCGAATTGAACATCGGTGACCGTGGAGTTGACACGCAGTTTCACATTTGACAGCGCCAGCGCTTGGTCAATGAGTGCGTTGTGAAGATCCGCGCGGTGGATGACCACCTGTTGACCGTAAGTCTTGTTAACGGGCATAGTACCCAGTAACGAGCCATCCTGCCACCGACGAACGTGGATGTGCTCGAGGGCAACATCTTTGGCGTGAATGGAGGGAGAGACACCCCAGCCTGGATTTTGAGGTCAGTTCGAGCACTCAGACTGCCAGAGGACTGATGCTTACGATCGAACAATCGGAGCATATTAGGAGAGACTTGGATGCCCGCTCCAACCTCCATAAGCTATTTTGCCTTCTTGTTAGAGCAAACCCTCAACATAACCAGGTCTATAACGATACTGGCATACCTTAGGCGCGGATTCCAGGATCGTGACCTGGTGTCCTCGTAGACCCAGAGTTAGGGCTGCGGCCATGCCGCCAATGCCTGCGTCTGTCAGCAACAGTGCAATCTTCTTGCCAAAAGAATCATCTTGGCGTACCCGCTCTATAGAACGATGTTAGTGGCAATTGCAGCGTGACAGCGGGAAATGGATGAATAACCTACCCAACGATGATCACCTCAAGGGGAGTCCTGGCCTGCGCAAGTGCCATGGTTATCTAGGATATTGATACAAAGGATAGCAAAAGAAAGGAAGCAAGAAGGAAGGAAGACGGGCAAGAAAAAGGAGAATTTAATTTGATAAAAATTTGCGCTGGCTGGATGCGCCGATATCCGATATAGGAGCCAATTTTGGTACCGTACAAAATCTGGGGCAACGAATTGGTTTGCCACAGGGTAGAGTCAGGAATGGGGAGGAGCAGTTGCGATTGATATAAGAATGCGTTTCATGGCAAACAAACACCTCCTTCCATAAACCCCATCGATCCGAACCTCCTCCGATCTCGACGCACTGGGGAATGACGGCCGAGAGCGGGATCATACGAAGCTGGGTCAAACATGATTGTTTTGTGAAAGCTCTCTGTCTGGGGGGGCCGGGATTGGCGGCAGGACGCGACATCTCCCCAAGTCGAGCATTCTCCACCAGACGAAACCTGCCATTCACCGCGCAATGGAGATGAACCAACATTTGGCAATCCCCATTTTTGACCGGAGAGGGCGGAGAGGGAAGAGTCAGAGTCACGGATAGTCTAAGGGGGGAGGTGGGTGAAGGGGTGGGCCGGGTGGTAATCCTCTGGCATCTCAAGCCTCCAAGCCTCCGCGAGGGGAGAAATGAGGGGGAATAGGAAGATGTGGAACCGTGATCAGCTTTCAATTGAAGGGCCAAGTATCGGGTGCATCAGGTGCATCTTCATCCTGGTTCGAGAGGAGCAAACAACATACTCCATACACAGTACCTACAATAATGATGTTTCTGTCTGGGGTTGCAGCACCGAGAGAAATAATGAGACTCCGCCGCGAGTCTCCCAGCGACCGGTTTCCGGACCACGCTACCTCCAATTGGGTTTAGTGCCCACTCTATAGAGGCGAGCTCGACAGTTGGATCCAATGAGAGCTGTGGAAAATGGTGACTCAGCTGCCCCGGCTCTTCCGCTTTGTAGCAATTGCCGACTGGTCCGGCATCGAGGTCTCCCTTCCAATTGCCGATTTCTCCCCATGAATTTCCAATCCATCCCCAGATTCAGTCCGCCTCTCACCTGTCCATCCTGCCCATGGAGATCATCTCCTCAGACCTCCAAACCTACCCCGATGTAGCACCTTCCCGTACTTCCATACTGACACCATTCGCTCACAGATCCGTTGACTGTTCATTTAGTCTGCGAAATTCCACCAATTCGAACATGGCGCTCCACCTCCACTTTCGAGGATTGCCCCCAACCCCTGCCTGAATTTGCATCAGATCCTGACATTTCGGCAAGGCATGATCCAGGACAAGCCGATGTCCAGATCCAGACGCTCTGCGAGTCCTTGCTGACTAGGATATTGCCCCCAGCGATATCCCAGCCCTCTGTGCGCAGTGAACACCAAACTCGAACCAACCATCCCGAACTCAATTGGATAATCGTCTTCAATGTTTCACAGATAGCAGGCAATACGAGCAGGAGCGTGACCACTCGTATCAGACTCATTGCAGCAGCCAGCCAAGGATCCAATTTCTGTCGACAGCTACTACCCACCACTGGACGACGATATCGACTTGTCTCGCATTTGGTCTGTGGTCAAAGCATGGATTCAAGACTTGGTGTCCGGGCTAGCCGTCACTTCCGTGCAGACGAGATCAGCAGGACTGGCGGGCGTCTTTGCGCCATAGCTTCGATCCTCATTCTGGTCTCATGTGCCGGTTAGCCGTTGCAATTTCATTTGGCTCCTGTTGAAGCCGCTGCATTTGGCCTCTAATCTAATTTGTTTTGGCCCTCAAAACAGATGTTGTCGTGCCGGCATCAGAAAGGCTGGCTTACCGAGTACATTAGGTATGGGATCGACCTGCTCTAGGCTCAAGGATCTCATGGATGACGTAGAATCTCGCATCAGGTGGAGCGAAGATGTCAGGCAGGTCCTTGCGAGAATAGAATGGTTGGTTTTCCCGTAAGCTCTCCGGGCACAAACCGTAAGGAACCTCAAGTATGACCTCTGGTAGTCCTTTGAAACGTTCACCTCGAACCCAGGTAACAATTCTCTTCTTGTACAAGGAATGCTGCACATACTCAGATACTCTAGTCAGTATTGTATACCTATAGATGACTACCGAAGCACTAAGTCAAATATGGTTTAGCGCAGTCCGAACATGCAGGGCGGAAAAGACCGATGAGGATGCAAACCAGATACAAACCAGATACAAACCACCAAACTAGATTCTGAGACATGGAAGCTCTGAAATAGCTCGCATGGGTTCTACCTGAGACTTGATATCAATTTCTGTGCTTGTCGCCTGGCAAGGGCTGCTCTCTGTAGAAATGTTTTCACATCTATCACTGTCGCCAAGATTGGTGATGCCCGACAGTCCTCCAAATTCATGCCCTTCCAGAGGTTCATTCGTACCGACACAGAAAACCCCAAATCAAAGATAGCTTTCGATGTCTACAAGGGACATCCTGATCAGCTTGGGGACTCACCGAATCCCACTATAGTTCTTCATGGATTCCTCAGCTGTAGAGAAGAACTACGTTCAATTAGCAAGTATGGATGCTTTGGGCCTGTTCCTCATACTACGTATTACCGGATGCTCACCGAATTCCCCCACATAGGATTCTAGTCACCGAGCTTAGGCGAGATGTGTATAATCTGGTAAGTGCTAATCTCACCGAACCCTTCAGCTTCGTGCCCAGGCAATTGACGCCCCAGGCAACAGGACCTTCGTAACCACGGCGAATCTGGCACCAAATAGAGGCATGACTACCTCAGATTAGCGCTAGATATCCGAGGACTCATGAAGGAGAACAACCTCAGAAATGTGTCTCTTGTCGGCAATCAGATGTAAGCCTTCCCAGTGGGTCATCTCACCCTTCGAAACAGGGTACATTAGCATTCATAGTCACTGACAATCAGCCATCAGGGGAGCCAAGAGCTATGACTCTAGCCCTCTACGACTCAAAACTCGTGGCCAATATTGTCTCCATTGACATTTCGCCTGTCCGGAAACCCCTTCCGCCGGTTTACTTACAATGGCTCCACGCCAATCGGCAAATCCTCTAGATGCGCATTACCGAGCTCCGAGAAGCGCGCAGAGTGATGTACTATTGGGATCGGGTCAGTTACCCCATCATGCTCTCCAGTAGCGTCGGGGTTGTCCATCGATTCTTTCTATCTGGCTTTGATCTCCCAGTCTATGGCCCTGATCTAACCTCCCCAAATAGAATGCAGGGGTGAGGCCTTGGCTCCTCCGAAATCTGGAATCACGACGATCACCCCTATGTAAGGCCGCGGATTCCGCAGAATATCCTGTGGGAGGCCCGCGAAGCGATGGGAGAATTCCCTTTCCGGGAGGACGATGCGAATCGGTTCAGCGGGCCGGCGTTGTTCCTGCGCTCGCGTGATAGCTACTACATACCCGAGGACAAGTGGGCCGAAGCCATCCGCTCTTTCTTTCCTACCTCCTATATTGAGGACGTAGACTATGAGGGGCTTCACCTGGCTCTGGAAAAGCCTGAGCTGGTTGTGAATGGTAAGTTTTCCTACTCGCTTTCATCCGTTTGTTCTTGTGCTGCTCTCTTTGGAACATTCGTTTTTCTCTTGTTATGCGATAGTTTATGAAACCCAGTCGGCTGACGACTCATGACCCTCCCACAGCGGCAGTTGAGTTCCGGCGGAACCCAATGGTGTATCTAACCGACAGGAAAGTCGAGAACCACGGAGGGCCAAAAATGGCCTGGGAACTGTGAAAGCAGGCATACGTGCAAAACCACCAGAGCTTCTGACATATTTTGACTGATATTGCTGCCTGGTTCACAGATTCTGCCCGGTGAAGATTGTGAGGCCCGCAGTAAGAACGTAGCGTGAGGGGACAAGAATCCCTAGACGTCGGGCGGTATCAAATGCATGTACACGGAGGATTGAATCGACAGTGCTGGATAACTGTCAACATTGATTCATGTGTCTTGATAAAAAGAGAACCTGGAAAGGTGGCCGTGGCAGAAGACCCAACTCAGAGTATCTTACTTGACCAATTGTACTGTACAGTGCCATAGACAATCCATGCCTAATCTATCACATTGAGACAGATCCCAGTCCCACTGTCCCTTCTACATAGATCTCTCCTGAGCGACGCTCAACCCCGATTCGCGGCTCTACACGAGACTTCTCACTTCAATTACCCTGTTCCACAGCGGATAGGATTTAATGAAGTAGAAAGTAGGAGGCAACGCTATTACCAATATCCCTTGGGCGCGATTGTCATGTCCGCTATACATTACAGAACATGGGCTCCGTTCACTGACAAGCTTTGTAGACACTGAGACAGGGTGTAAACCACTCAGCGCATCTTTCGAAAAACAAATTCGGAAGGGAGGGAGACCATACATTACATCTTATCAAAAGACATATACTAGCTGGATCCTCGCCTAGGTACTTTCCAAACGTAACTGAATCCAACCGTGACTTTGCCATAACCGCACCAAGAACAACTCTCCCGTCCCCGGCCGCATTTCGGCAAGTCAGCAGATACCCTGCCCAAGCCAGAAGCAAACTCTTAGATCTGCACTCAAGGAGTAAGAGTCCATTACAATCTCAAGAGACCCTCACCGGATGAAACACCCTGAGACAAATCCAGCGAGCAGGGCACTGAGAATACTAGTCTCAGTGCCCGAGGCGGGCGAGCCTTTTCCCTTTCAACAACTCGAAGAGACCTAATAGTGCCCGTTGGATCCGAAGAACCTGATTATTCGGACATTCTGACAGGAAAGGGGATTGATTGGGCTTTGCTTCGAAGCTTGTTATGCCTCCCTCCCCTCGGGAGTCAGCAAAAGTGGGCGGGGCCCACAGCCCACAGCTACGAACGTGCAGCGGTCGGTTGTGTAACGCACAGGGGCGGATAAGGTTTGGCCGGGCCGTCGGATCCAGCTTTAGCGCCTCGCTTGGCGGGTATGGTGGTTCCACCCATCGCGTTGGGCACGTGCAGGGGGAAAGGGGTTTGTGGATTGGTAATGGTTGAGCTATGCGCTTTTTGAGTAGTGTATATCATTGCTCTGATGGAGGCTTCTCAGATAGAACTACGGCAGATGGTGGCGCAATAAGGTAATCATAGGCCTCCGAATTTCAGTCCTGTCGGCGGGATACGGCAAGATTTCCATATTTGAGACTCATGTGTATTCAGCACTAGAGGCAAGACATATGATGGTCCGGAGTGATTAGGCAGCGTGGGCTTAAAGGTTAGATACTCTCCCGCCTTGTGTAGTTCACTCAGGGTCAGCGATCTTCAAAATAGCCTTTCCGCGGTTCCCGCCACGAAGCATCGAGACCAAGGCTTCGGGTCCGTTCTCAATTCCAGTGGTGATGTCTTCCTTCGTCTTGATGCTGCCGTCGAGTAGCCACTGTAGCATAGCTGCGGTCAGAATGGGTCCTCGTGAGCCAGCCAAGTAACTTACCGCAGACACCCTCTCGTTCCTCTCCTTCGCATACTTCGGGCCCATATTCTCGTCTCCGACGATAAATCCCTGCATCCTGATTCGCTTGCCGACCACGTTCATCAGGGTCTTGACTCCATAGAGCTCGTTGGGTTTCAAGTTGTACTGCGATACCATGCCACAGGCGACTGCATGATGCGTCAGCGAAGGGACCTAGAAGGTAGGAGGGAGGCCATACTAATCCTGCCGAAGGGGTTCATGGCAGTGAGGGCCGCTTCCAGGTGCTCGCCCCCAACATTCTCGTAGTAAATGTCAATTCCGTTGGGTGCTAGTCGAGCCAGAGCGTCGCCGGGCTTCTCTTTCTTATAATTGAACCCCGCGTCGAAGCCCAGCTCCTCAGTGATATACCGCAGCTTATCATCATCACCAACGCTGCCAATCACCTTCAATCCCTCATGTTTCGCCAGCTGGCCGACCACCTGACCCACCGCGCCGGCGGCGGAGGAGATAAAGATGGTCTCGCCCTTCTTAGGCTGCCCGATCTCATACAGACTGGAATAAGCCGTCAGACCCGTCATTCCAAGGATTCCGGCGTAATGCGACAGCGACAGTCCAGGCTTCACATCGATCTTCTCGGTCTGGGGCCATGCCAGCTGCTCCTTGGTGACAACACTGTACTCCTCGATCTTGAGGATACACCAGATAATATCACCCTTCTTGTATTTGGGGTTCTCCGACCGGATCACTTGCCCAATGCTGTAGGCAGTGATTGGCTCGCCAACCTGGTAAGGCGGGCTGTAGCTCTTGATGCTGGGGTCACGCATCCGACCACGCATGTAGGGATCCAGACTGGCGTAGAGGTTTTTGGTGAGGACGCTGTCCGGAGGCAGCTGCTGGTCGAGGTCAATCTCCCGTTGTTCCACGGTGAGATCGGTACCCGGGACAGGCGCCCCACTGGGGATTTTGCTGAGGATGATGGCTTTGTTCGGTTGAGGCATTGTGAGAATTAGTATTTTGACGGGTGTCAGGCTTGGGTGTTGAGAGTAGTGGGTAGGACAGGGCGATCCTCGACTTATAAATCAAGACTGGAGCGGGAGGGGTAAATCAATGACGATAGCGGGACAATTGGCCAACCTCGGCTGGTCGGTGGGGTATGGCCTGATTGATAATCATTTGTGTCACCCTTGTCGCATCATTGATTAAGCTATCATGCAGTTCAAACCTGTTAACTGCTGTAGCAAGAATTGTGCTCTGGGCTGGATTGCGTATCGATGAATCCGACAGTTGTGATTTGGCGGAGGACGAAGGAAGCAGAACATATCTCCGGGGGCGCTAGCTGGAACAAGGATATGGCTTCGTAACTTATTCTGTTGCGCTCCGCAAGCTTCCATCCCAACCATACGAATTTGCTTCATATAGTCCACCCTAGCACGGAGTTGCTAGACAATTGTCGTTGGGCCCAATCTTGCCCAGGGCATCCGCGAGACTGGAACTGGCGCGTGCACACAGATTGCTGGATTGTTGGTAGGACACAAGGCGCCCATCTGACTTGAGTGATGGAACCTGAAGTCTTTCAAATATGCTGTGTTGGATCATCCTCATAACGCATCTCGTGCCTGAAGGTGTCGAACAAGCTGCCCACTAACCCGATATGTCTCAGCAGTTGATAGGCAGAGTCATGACTGGGGCGATCGGTCGGAATCGGAGGGAGCAATTCACACAATAAGAAGTGTGTGAGGTGAGTGAAGTCACTCATGTTCGACTGATAAACAGGGAGGAAATGTAAGTTGCTGGTGGTACGGGGTTACTTATTGACTGACATCTGATAGAGTCGGCCCCCAATCCAACCCGTGACCTGACCATGGCCCGCGGCGGTTAATAGATCCTTCCTAATTCAGTAAGCTGTGCGGACTCCGACGAGGTCTCCACCCCCACGTGGTGGTTGACCAATAACACCCCTGATATTCCTCAAACCGATTATCATTTTATCGCCGAATCCCGATGAGGTCACAGCCTGAAATCCTGGTGATCCACTCTAGGTACCTAGACTTGGGAAGTTGGGAGTCGGGAGTCGGGAGTCTACAACTGCCCCTTGAAACCGCGTGTCATCGAGGCTTCCTTTCCATATCCGTATCTCTCCATCGATTTCATGTTATAAATAGCTGTTCTCACTGATAATCATGATACTTATATCTGACACTCGTCAAACAGCGCAACGCTACCACTAGTTGGCCTTTCACAACGTTCTATTTAACTAATAGTCTCCCAACTCATCTGGTACTAAATCACCTTCTTCAGCCACTGGACAAAGCCATTCCTCCAGCATTCTTGGCAGAATGGCTGGCATACCATGGACACCGGTCTATATCGCCTTTGCTGCATATGCCTACTTTAAAGCGACGTGGCCAACATTTTTCTACCTGTCTGCCTTGACCACAATTGGCAGAATTGTGTACCGAGTATTTCTTTACCCGGAGTTCTTAACACCTCTGAAGCGGATTCCGAGCCCGTCCGTGAGTGTCTCAGCATTTCCGTGTATATACTCTTATCAAATGGAACACGGTCTTACATATTCCACTAGGGCCGATCATGGCTTCGTGGCAATTCTAGCACTCTGATTCTGAGGCATGACTGGAAGCGACTGGCTAAATGGGTAGAAGAAATCCCAAATGATGGTCTGATCCGCTACTATATGACTGGCAACTTGGAGCGGTTGATAGTGACCAGTCCTAAGGGACTGAGTGAGATCTTGGTGACCAAGGTCTATGACTTCGAAAAACCAGCCTTAGTACGGGAGTCTCTGGGACGTCTCACCGGCCAAAAGGGGGTGCTGTTGGTAGAAGGTGCCGAGCACAAGGCAAGTGTCACAACAAGGGCAGAAATCGCATGTCCTTTCCAAGCTGACTGAAAACAGCACCAAAGAAAGAATCTGATGCCGGCTTTTTCCTACCGTCATATCAAGAACCTGTATCCGATCTTCTGGTCGAAAAGCATTGAGATGGTGCAATGCATCGAAGAGGACTTACGAGCGCGTGAGGATTCTTCGGACAACGTTATTCGCGTGGCAACTTGGTCAAGTCGAGCCACACTCGACATTATCGGTCTTGCTGGAATGAACCGCGACTTCAACTCCCTGCGCGATCCCACCAATGAGCTGGCCAGACAGTACGGTAGGATTAACGGTGCGCCGCCGTCCAAAGTGGAGCTGGGTCTTTTCCTTCTGGGCCTTGTGATGGGAGTACCAACATGGGTCCACAAGCTGCCCTTGCAGAGGAACAAATATATCCGCGAGGGGGCTGAGTATATCCGCGCTGTCGCACTGCAGATGCTCCGTGAGGCAAAGGACCTGCGGGACCACGAGCAAACCAGCCACGCGAAGGACGGGGTCGATATTATGTCCGTAGCACTCGAGAGCGGCAGCTTTACAGATGAGGAGCTGGTCGACCAGATGATGACCTTCCTCGCGGCCGGACACGAAACCACCTCGACCGCCCTCCAGTGGTGCATCTACGCACTGTGCAAGTACCCGGACGTGCAAACCCGCCTCCGAGAAGAGATCCGCGCCAACCTTCCCTCCATCTCCGTCGAGAATCCAGAGTCTGTCTCAGCCGAGGTCCTCGACAATCTGCCCTACTTGCATGCCGTCTGCAACGAGGTGTTCCGCTTCCATCCCTCCGCCCCGGTGACCATCCGCATGGCGAACCGTGACACCTCTCTCGCCGGCCAGTCCATTCCCCAAGGCACGCTCATTTTCCTGTTCCCCGCGATAATCAACCACCTCAAGGAACTGTGGGGCTCGGACGCCGATAAATTCAACCCCGAGCGCTGGCTGGGACCCGGGATGGCCAATACCGGCGGGGCCACCAGTAACTACGCCTTCTTGACGTTCCTGCATGGACCCCGGAGTTGTATTGGGCAGGGCTTCGCGAAATCCGAGTTGGCATGTATGCTGGCCGCCTTTGTCGGTCGTTTCAAGTTTGAGTTGGAGAATCCGGACGCTGAGCTCGAACTCCGCGAGGGTGCGACTGTAAGTCCGCGGGACGGGGTGCGGGTCAGATTGACACCCTTGGAGGGGTGGTAGGCGCCGAACCTGATTGCTAAAAAATTCTTGTATTTATTTATGTTACTTTTGATCTCGTTGCTACTAATTAGGTTAGACTGTTTGGATTGAAGACTTAAGCTTCTATGTACAGGAATGGGAAAATGCTATGTGCTGTCTGATTATGTATAAGCTGCAAGCGATGATCGCCCGACAGGCTTCAATCGGCTGTACATTGTTCAAGTATCTGCAGATACTGTCGCTGGGGTCTTCCGCCTGTGGTTTATTGTCTGCTTTGTTTGTGGTTCGCTTGGACAAGGGGAAGAGCGAATGCGAATGGACCGCCCCTTCGGAGACGGAATGATGAGAGTGTTTCCAATGCGTTGGGAATGCATTCGGTCGAACCCCCTATGAGCACTCTTCGAGGCAGAGGTATGCAAGCCCACGGTAGGGTTTGGTGTGACATGCACACTTGTCAACTTGGACTGGGATCACCAGCCGCCACAACTGCATGATTTGCGGACCAGCACATGCAACATACGCATGTATCATGAACCTAGCAGACTTCCTCGCATCTCATCTCCGCCATCACGGACGAGGCTCCGAGAGGCTCATCTGCCGAACATTCAAATTGACTCGTTTGCCCTCCATCCACCCCTTCCACGTCTCATACTGAGTGGTGGCATCCGAACCATCCGCCGCGCCAGGCCACTCCGCGAGCCAGGCCGGACACGTCCCCGGCACGATCTTGGGCACGGCATGCCAGGCGAACCTGGACGTGCCGTCCATGTACACCGCATCGCCGGAGCGCAGGCGGACGATCTCGCAGCCGGCGCCATCATCATGGCCGATCAGGAACAAGCCGTCACAGCCGAAACTGATACTGATCAGGCCGGCATCGCACTCCTCGCTGACGTCGCGGTGGGCGCTGAGCGTATCGCCGGGCGAATACACGTTCAGGATCGCCGCCTGCGCCTCCGTCTCCGGGAACATGGTGTGCAGCAGCTTCGCGATGTCCGGCGGGAACGCCGGCGGCCGCTCGGCCGGATACACCTTGGCGGTCCAGTCGTACTGGCCGCCCAACGTCACCCATCGCAGTTTCTTGTTGAGGATGCTCTGCACGGTGAGTGGCTTGTGCACGCTGGGGTCTTTCGGGTGGATAGCTCGCGCTGGGTCGTCGGCAAAGAAGGAGGATGGGGGAGGGGGCCCGGGGTCTACTACGCTGGAATCGATCGTCGAGGTAGTAGTTGCTGCTGCTGCTGCTGCTGCTTCCCCGGCGCGGGGATACGTGAGCTCGTAGTGCAGGTGGAGGTTGGTCTTGTGTCTTGGGTTGGATAGGTCTCGGTGGAAGAGCCGCGAGAGGAGTTCTATTTGTACGGTCGGTGGGAGGAGGGAGGGGATCATTTGGAGACCTACATGTGCCTGTTAGGACGACCAGTTGTTCTTTTCTTTGTTTCTACAATGGATGCTTTTTGGGGGGGGGTCTTCTTTCTCCCTCGCCTTCTTTCCTGTCTTGCTGAGTAGACAGAGGAAGGAAAGAAAGGGAGACAGAAAAAAGCGTTAGATGGTGGTGTATAGTGCTGACCGGTCACAGAGCGATGAGAGAAGACAGGGATATCTTTCGCATTCAGGGATCCCTCCGCACCATCCTTGCTTGTCCCCAGAAATTGATCGAATACGGGCTGAAGATCCTTGCCGGAGATCCAATGCGTGACTGAAACATCCTCCGGCAGCCGGTCAGCATCTAGCGCCTGAAGATCCAGAATGCTACCATCCGAGTTTATGTCTGTGAGCGTGGACTTTTGGTATTGCTTGTAGCGTTGCTTGACAGCCTCCGGAGGTCGCTCATGGGCATTCAGGTCCTTTATTTGTGCCATGTCTTTTTTTTCCCTTTTTTCTTGATTTTGTGTTCCCGTTCTTCTCTGTGTTTTTGCTCCCTTCCTCGCGTGTAGTCGAACTAGATCTCTTTTGACCTATAACTGGACTGCATCACACAGTTAGTCTCTTGAGGATCTGCAAGGCCGCACTATTGCATGGGTGCTGCTATGACAGTTCAGATCGCTCCTCGGAATTGCAGGTCGATGGTTCAACCAGTCATAAATGCTGAAAATAGCAAACCAATGTCGCGTAGAGGACAAATCTGTTGCTTCCGCAAAGAAAGATCCGAACCTATTCGACGAAAAAGAGTAACAAAGAGCATACTAGGCAAAGATTGTAACCGGCACCCCAAAAAAAAGTTCAGAGCGGGAATCAACTGGGGACGCGCTCACCGCCCTCGGTGCCACGCGCGGATTTTGGGTTTGTTTGTGTACGGCGGCTACTGACCGCCTTTGGCTCCCCACCAGCAGGGATGAATGAAAAGACGACAGTTCAGTCGATTCAGTTCCTCCCTACTCCAACAGGTAAAGGTAAGTTCCAGGGTAAGTAGGTAAGTAAATCTACATTCGATTGAAGCTCCAGGCCAGACCAATTCTCTCCTCGACTCCCAGATTGGCTCCTTTCTTCCTATTCCCTTTCAGCCCGTGCACCTCGAGAGGCCCTTCTTCTCCCTCCTCGCCGTTGCTTGACGCCAACCATTGTTTTCTCTTTCTTCCCTCCCCCGGCAACAGGAACGCCGTCGCCGTGCAGTGCAGTGCACACACTCTCTTGTTTCCTGTACCCCGCGTGTCGGTGGGCTTGACCACAGCTTGACGGTGTCTCATCTCTTGGGGTTCGAAATTGTCGTTATAGAATCACTGTGTGTGGGAAACCAGTTTTCCTCAAAGGGTCAATTTACTGCCAACAATGGAGAACTATCAGAAGATCGAGAAAATCGGAGAGGGTATGTGCCCACCCCCCCCAAGATGTCCTCGATCATACATCTGCACCTTTAACTTCCTACTTTGGTGCAAGAGCAACCCCATTGGGAAACTGTCTAATATTTCTGGTTGTGTAATGCAGGAACCTACGGTGTCGTTTACAAAGCCCGTGAGCTCACTCATCCCAACCGAATCGTCGCCCTGAAGAAGATCCGATTAGAGGCCGAGGATGAGGGTGTCCCCAGCACCGCTATCCGGGAGATCTCCCTGCTGAAGGAGATGAACGACCCCAACATTGTCCGACTGCTGAACATCGTGCACGCCGACGGCCACAAGCTCTACCTCGTTTTCGAGTTCCTCGACCTTGACCTGAAGAAATACATGGAGGCTCTTCCTGTGAGCGAGGGTGGACGTGGGAAGGCCCTGCCGGAAGGTTCTGCGCTGAGCAAGAACATGGGACTGGGCGATGCCATGGTCAAGAAGTTCATGGCTCAGCTGGTGGAAGGCATTCGCTACTGCCACAGCCACCGCATCCTGCACCGTGACCTCAAGCCTCAGAACCTGTTGATTGACCGCGACGGAAACCTCAAGCTGGCCGATTTCGGTCTGGCTCGGGCGTTTGGTGTTCCTCTCAGAACCTACACACATGAGGTATTTCACGATTCTTCGGACATGCCATGCTTTGACTTTCTAACCTTGCCATTTTCCCTTGATCAGGTTGTGACTCTGTGGTACCGCTCCCCTGAGATCCTTCTGGGTGGACGCCAATACTCCACTGGTGTTGATATGTGGTCTTGCGGTGCCATCTTTGCGGAGATGTGCACTCGTAAGCCGTTGTTCCCTGGTGACTCGGAGATCGACGAGATCTTCAAGATTTTCCGGTATGTCTGCCCTTTCCAAAAATCAGGAATTAATGACGTTGCTCAGTCGCTTACCACTCGCTCACCAACAGTCTTCTCGGTACTCCTGACGAGGCCGCTTGGCCCGGAGTCACCTCTTTCCCCGACTTCAAAGCCACGTTCCCCAAATGGAAGCGTGACGAAAGCCGTGCTCTGGTCCCTGGACTCGAGGAGGATGGCCTGGACCTTCTCGATGCCTTTCTCGAGTACGATCCTGCCCGGCGTATCTCCGCCAAGCAGGCTTGCATGCACCCCTACTTCGCCAATGGCAGCTCATATTACTCCGGTCGCACCCGGACAACGACAAGAAACGGGTTCCACTAAATCAACCGTGCCCGCACGTTACCACGACCATGTTTAAGGCATGTATGTAATGCGGACGACGGTGGCAGATGCCATGACGCACAGTGGCATGGACAGCACCGCGGTCTCTGCATCTATTCCCCTCAAGGCTGAGTCCTGTCCGCGTCGCTGCTACAGTCCGCTCTTTCCTAACATTTCTCATCATCGTTTTCTGCTTCTGTTACAATGGCGTTGTTTGTGGAGTGATCTGGCAGGAACGAGAATAGGTTACTGGCTATCGCAAGGAGTATTTTGACTAACGCGTACATACCCATAATTGAGTAAATGGAGAAAAAGAAAGGAGGTCATTCTATAGCAGCAGTGACAATGAATGAATGAAGTTGTTCCTTGTTTCATCGATTATCAGGATGTGTGTTTGATTACTCTGTAATCGAGAGAGAGAGGGGGTGGAGGTTGTGCTCAACTACCAAGCCGATGATGGCACGGGGTGGTCTCATTCCTTCCCTTCCTCGACTGCCTTCCTCCCTCCCTACTCTACCATTCCACCACTCTACCACGAACAACGAACGTCTTGAACCCGACTGCATTTCTTCTTCTTCTTTTTTCTTTTCTTTTTCTTTTTTTTTTTTTTTTTTTGTATTTTGACTGTCTCTATCTAAAGAATCCAGGCTGAGCCCCTTAGTGTCACACACTATGGAGTGCTATCCGAGGTGATAGACATGTGGCTTCCGATCTCCTGCATGGGTGCAAAGGGATGCTTGCACTTGCAGCTGATTTACAGATCGTGGCTTACTTGCTACACCGAAATGTATTCCTCCAAGGTACTTCCCCTAATGACGTGAATCACAGTGGAAAGCCATTCAAATCATGGAAAGGAGCGGTCAAAAACTTAGCCGAAATGAGAAAAGCAGTGAGATTCAGCCGCAGAAGGCTGAGTGTGCAAATGTATATTGCTTGCTCGTATCAGCCGGTTACTGAGGAGGCTCAGCCAGAATGTCAACCCCTCTTCTCCATCGACCCAATCGGAATCATTTTATCTCTCTTGCGTTCAAGTTTCCAGCTCACGGTGAACACATCTTGCATTTCGTCCTTGTCCATGGCTCCATCCTAAACCAACCCACAAACCCCCGGCAGCTCCGAAAGGATCAGCGCTTGCAAGCGAGATGCACTTCGACTGGACTCGGAGATGCACCAAGCCCACACATTCATGCACGGTACCCGGACTAATGACCGTTTCTGTCCTTAACCACATCCCAGACACTGGGCCATCACGAGCTGTAATCTTTCAATTCTCCCGTTCCGTCAGCATCTTATGCTTAATGTCCCACGTTTTACATTGGCCCGTCAAAGTTCAAGTTGCGTCGTTTTACTTTCTGCCGTGCTTACTGGGGGCCGAAAAACCAATGTGAAACGATCGGCGGCTCTGCTATTGAGCTCACCTTCGGCCTTATCAGTGGCCATTAATTTTAGAAGGCCTGGTGCGCGTGGTTCAGCAATACGAGCGCTTGGTAAGCGCTCGGACCTGGCCTCGAACCATTCGACCGGCTCTCTTCCCCTGTCATGCAAGAGAAAGTTCCAATCATGCTTGGCCTGCCTTACGCACTTCCGGCCTGAGGCTGTGTGGAGAACCTCGTGGATTCAATTTAATATGGGCAACAGCGACCAGCGGGCTTGGGCCCATATGGGGTTTGTTTATAAGAGTTCGGGAGGCCACCGGTTCTGGGGAACTGTTTCACCTTCAAACAACCTTGATTAGTTCATGCATTGGACCCGTTCTTGCTCTTGTAGAACAGATTTGTTGATGATCTACTGCGCAAATGGATTGTGAAGACCATACCGATATGGCATATACTCCCCCGCTCTCGTCACGCTCCGGGAGCAGGATGCGAACGAAGACCAACCAACCGCCCCAGGAAACTGTCAAGCAATTCTGGAATGATTTCAACTCCAAGTTTCCGGGGCTGGTCAACACCGTATTGCCGGACAATCCGTATGCGCGCACGAAGGCTGCGAGGACACCCAAGGGGGTGATCCAAGCTCAGGTGGCCGGAAAGTCCTACGAACAAGCACGGAAGGAGTGTCAACGTTCAGTTGAGCGCATCGCTAGGGAATGCGAGCGGCTGAATCAGAAGTACTCTGATCCGCATTTCGATATCGCCGCAGATCTCAAGCGCGGAAGGAGGAACTATCTTGATGGACTGATGGACCAAAACTTGGAGTTGCGGCCAAGAGGCGTGAAGAGGGTAACGGTGAGTTTAAGATACTGAAGCGGGCAAACGTGGAGTGGTCAGTCGAGCTATACTCATCAGCATTCCCATTATTAGGAAATCTTTGAGAAACCGCAGTTCTACGTCAACGGGCCTACTGCTTCTGATGTACGCCAAGGCCGCGACGGTGACTGTTGGCTGATGGCCGCGTTGTGTACGATGGGCAACAAGCCCGGCCTGATTGAAGATGTTTGTGTTGCTCGAAATGAGAAGGTTGGCGTATACGGATTTGTATTCTACAGAGGTGAGGCGATTCGGCTCGACAGATTTGACGAAATACTAATATCTTGTAGATGGAGACTGGCAGCAATGTATTGTGGACGATAAGCTGTATCTGCGGGCCGCCGATTATGACGAATCCGTGGATGAGCGGCCAATTTGGGACGACATAAACAGGAAAGACACCGAAGAAGAGTATCGCAAAGCCTGGCAGACGGGCTCTCGAGCTTTGTACTTTGCTCAGTGCGTGGATGAGAACGAGACTTGGCTGCCCTTGCTCGAGAAAGCCTACGCCAAGGCTCATGGTGACTACTCTGCAATTGAGGGTGGATTTGTAGGGTAAGACACATATACATCCTGCCTGGACTGCATTTACTAATGTCATCCGCATCGCAGCGAGGCCCTTGAGGACCTGACTGGTGGGGTCACTTCAGATTTACTCTCTAGTAACATCTTAGACAAAGACCGGTTTTGGAATGAGGAGCTCATAAAGGTCAACAAGGAGTTCCTCTTCGGCTGTGGCTGCGGTCTGTTCTCTAACTGGCTGGACCCGGGCTACCGAGGGCCTCCCAGAGACAGGAGGGGGATTTCGGAGAATCACTCCTATTCCATCATGGAGGCGCGGGAAATCGACGGACAACGCTTGCTGCGACTAAGGTAGGAGCTACTAATGCCTTATTTGCGAGCAAGAATGCTGATTCAAAGCTAGAAACCCATGGGGCAAAAAGGAATGGAATGGCGCTTGGAGCGACGGCTCTGAACAATGGACACCCGAGTGGATGGCGAAGTTAGGGCATAAGTTTGGCAACGATGGGGTAGGTTTCTCGAATGCAATTCCAGCACCGGGACAGCGTAGCATGCTAACGAAATTGCAGTTTTTCTGGATCTCATATGATGACCTTCTCAAGAAGTACCAGCACTTCGACCGAACTCGCCTCTTTAATGATGACTGGACAGTTACTCAACAATGGACAACATTAAATGTTCCCTGGTCCGCCGACTATCACAACACCAAGTTCGTCATCAACGTGAGCAAAGGTGGGCCTGTAGTTATCGTTCTCTCGCAGGTATGACACGGATGGTTTTGTGCTCTTCATTACTATGATGGGTCACTGATTTATACTCCTAGCTCGACGATCGGTACTACAAAGGACTAGCCGGTGAATACGATTTCGTCCTCAAGTTTCGCTTGCAAAGGGAAGGCGAGGACGACTATTTTGTGCGCAGCCACAGCAGCGATCTTATGTACCGCGGCGTGAACGTCGAAGTCGACCTCGAGCCCGGCCGTTATCATGTCCTCATGAAAGTCACGGCCTACCGCGACAACGAGAAGATGCCCACCGAGGACGTGGTGCGTAGCCTTGCGCCCACCCGCCGGGAGAAGCTGGTCCAGATCGGCCTCTCGTACGACCTGGCCCACGCGAAGGGCATCGTGCCTGAGACAGAGAACGAGAAACGAGCCCGCGAGGAGCGGGAAGAGCGACAGCGGGCCGTCGAACGAAGGAAGCTCCGCGAGGAGACCAAGAAGCGACTGCAGAAGCAGTGGATCCGCGACCGCAAGCGCGAGGCACGACGGCACCGACGCGAGGAGCGACTCGCCGAAGAGGCTGCGCGGGGGGCCTCCTGCCACAAGGGATCCGACGCGGCGGAACACACCGACGACGCTTATACCGATCATGATCATGATCATGTCTCACAAGCAAAGGCAAAACCAGTAGAGAACGGCTCTATCCCTACGATCCAGGTCAGCAGCTCACATGTTGTCAACGGCCACGATCACCCGAGGGGCCGAGTCTCCCTCTCAATTCGCGACAAGCGCGCTCCGGTCCACACTCCCAACCCCGATCTGAAGTATCTCGAGGGGTTCGAGTTCGATTCCGATCTCGATATGCCCCCGGAGGAGCCGGCCGCGGAACCAAGGACCCCGGCCCGTACTTTGTCGTGCAGTAGCGAGCTGGATGCGAACGGGGATCCGTGGAATGCCGTCTGCGTGGTGGGTTTGCGGGTCTACTCGAAGGACTCGGAGCTATCGCTGGAGGTTCTCCGTCCTGTCCCCGAGGATGAAACGGAGGCTTGCCTAGACATGGATGATCCGGCCGTGAGTGCGACTTCGGAGAAGCAGCCTCGGATTCTGTCTGGTATTTAAGGCATTGGAATGTGGGCGTTGGTTCGTTTGCTCAGTGCAGAGTAAGGGAGGCCTGGATTTATTTATCGGATCTTTAATACTTCTCTCATGGATAGATACATTCTACACAGCTTATTCAAATGATTGCTTTTTCTCCATTCTGCTAAATATATCCCTGTCATATCAATTTCCAAATCGATCACCGACCCAGACATTGCAGCCAAGACGATGCCCATTGCCCAGCGACAAACCAAGAAGATCCATATAATGCATGCATGGATGTATAGCAAAAGTTTCCACACATGTAAGTTCCTATGAGAACATATAAACAGCAAAATGACAATGAGAGGGAATCATATCCAAATGTCCCCCCGACGAAAGAGACCATACCCAAAAGCTCACACCCTCTCCCACGCCTGACCCCCCATAGCCACCAACCGATTGAACAACTGATCCCTCGCCTTCATCCCGGTGACATGATACGTCTGACTCTCCTCGGCCCCGCAGATCACCAACCCATCCACCGACTCTTTGCTCCCCGCCGCCAACTCCACGATCAATTTCCCCTTCCAACCCAGCCCTTCCGTCTTCCGGAGACCTCGGATTTGGGAGATGGGAATCTGGAACAAGACCGTTCCTTTCTTCTGGTGCTCGAGTCGGCGGTCCTCGAGGGTGGCGGAGTGGAGGGTGCTGAAGTAGAGGATCGGAGATGGATTTAAGTTCTCACCTTTTTCTTCTTCTTCTAGCTGAGCGGTTGAAGGCTCGTTTTCTGGGGAGATGAATGAGGAGGACGGGGAGGGGGAGGAGTCGATGACCAATGTGCCGCGCTTACGCTCGAATTTCGCGTCAAAGGTGTCGGGGCCGGAGGTCTCCCATTCCCAATTGCGGCGGTGCATGGTGAGGAGGAGGCGTCCGGTGCCCTGCGTGGCGCCTGCGATTGCCATGGCTTGGTTGAATGCGGAGTGGCCCTTTGTGGCTAGTGTGATGGTTGTGCGGAGGATGCGGAGGAGGCGGGGGAGGAATCTCCTGCGCTTGGAGGTGGAGGGCTCGGAGGTAGATGTGGATGTGGTGGTGGTAGCGATGGCGGTTGTGGTGAGGCTGGTTGAGCTAGCTGCTGCTGCTGCAGTGGCTGTGATCTTGAGCTTGTCTTTGTAGGTTATCCATGATGGTATGGGGTTGTTGGAGTGGGGTTGTAGGGAGGATGGTGGGGAGGGGAGCGGAGTGTTGTTGGTTTCGCAGAGTCGGAGGAGGGTAAGTGTTAGTTGAGCGTTGTTGGGGATGTTCTTCAGAATGGTTCTGAATGAATAGTGTCTAGGTTAGCACGTCTGATCATAACCATTAAGTTCTTTCCACGGCATAGTGTACGTACTCTCGTGGATCCAGGAATTTCTTCCAGTCGGAAAATTTCTCATTAAGGTAATTCATAGAGTACTGGTGCATGGGACCGCCAAAGAAGATAAAGCCGAGGGTGAAGCTGTTGGCTCTGACAATGAAGTCATTTGATACGATGGAGGTGAGCAGGCAGATCAAGAGAAGAACACCAACTAGCTGAATCTGCGCCGTCACAGAGGTGAAGGGCGGCGTCGGAGAAAGGACGCTGCGTGATGGTTAGCTTGAACGTACTCATATTGCCAGCGTGCAGACCTCGTACTTGGAGAACATCTCGTAAATGTCGGTACCGTCACTGATTACACGCATCGCTTGGGTGGTGGCATTGGCGACCGCCTTCCTCATGGACCTTTTGGTATCGTCCCCCGTCACCGCAGCATCTGGGATGGTATTGATATCTGTGGTCGAGTCTGAAGCAAGCGTCTCTTCTAGACTATCACCAGTGATTTCCTGGCCATGTCTGCTCGTCGCCGCTTTCACTGCAATTTTAGCAATGTTGTTCATGAGACTATTGGCTTCTTGCTCCGCAGTTTCGCCCTTGTGCTTGCTGGGTTGGTCTGTGGCCTGCTGCGGCTGGGTCTTGGCCCCGTTGTCTTCGGGAGTAAGACTAGGAAATAATAAAGGCCGTAGTGACGGAAACAGAATCAAAGCAGCAAGAAAGAGAGAAATGGTGGGAACGAGGCTACCTCGAAACCATGCGATGAAGTAGGTCTTGAATCTGTCAGTAGTCTATAGGGCGTTGATTCAAGCATCGACAACGTACTGCACAAAAGGCCGAGGTACGTCGGGGCTCATTCCACGACCGCAACCTGACGACATGAGTATACAACGTGATCAGCCCTACAATAACAGAGACATAGAGCCTCTCCAGTGTAATTCGCACTTTCTCTGGCGGAAATTGTTCATCTTGGACCGGATTGAGGTCGAGGTCACCCGCACGAGGTTCAAACGTGGCTTGCACATTATATATTTGCTTGAAGTCATGAGTTGGGCACTGCACGATCCATGGCTGTGAGTAAGCGTACCTTATTGAAGCGTCGGATCAATAACCACAGATCTTCATCTGGAACGCCAGGTACAAGGTCATCCTGGTCTGGTTTCGCAGAGGCTTCGGGCTGTACGCCTGCCATGTCACTGCGGCCGCCGGTATTGGATTCCGACACTTGTATCGTCACCGAGGGGTTTTCTTCAGGCTCTGTCTTCTTGCCGTCTTTTTGGGTCCCTAGAATTGCACCTCAGTCGATGTTCGGTGGAATACGTTGAAATCATGTCGGCGCGCGGTCCAGGCATTCATAAGCCACCGGCAATCAATCAGGCGGGGGTGGATATCGTTGACATCATTGGCTGAACCAGACGATCTGTGCATGCAGTAGCAGGAACGGGATTTGGCAAGATTTGTCTATCATGGTCGGAAAAGGCCATGGTGGAGTAGTTGAGGCCGATGTAAGGAGGCCTGGCTATTTCTGTCTTTGCCACAGTTTCATAATAAGTACCCTCCCAATCAATTCATCGCTGCTTCTTAGCGTCATCGTGAGGGATACTAGCTGCCTTACTGACGTATATCAGCAAATTGGCTCCGAGTCCATTGAAACTCAGTCGCATAGAGCTCTAGTATGAATGCATGATGTCGGTCTCGCTGAAGATCCAGAATGGAGACTGCATTGTTGACCTCAGGTGGGAATAGAGCGAGGATGAAGGTGACTTCCAAATTGGGAAATGAACTCGGACCTGGGATCACTTCCCAAAATGGTTAGCGTCTGGGGTCTTCACTGTGGCTGCCGAACGAATCCACATCAACAATGCTTGATTCAATCCTCAACTCCATCCTTCATCTTGCGCCTTATAAGATTTACTCATAGGGTGCTATGCGCCACCTGCTATTCTCGCTGCCAGGGCTTGCCTCAGCGAGGAGCTACACCGCCATCTTTGCGTGGCGACCTCGATCTACCCGTTCGTTCTGCAGAAGCGCGCAACTCGCGTCATCGACGTATAGCAACTATGCCGTTGATATCCCGGTAGGGAATAATGGGCAGATTACATTACAGTAAGGTCAACACCAACCACGTCACAAACAAACCTCTCAAGAAAGCTGACTTTATGACACAGAATAACTCATCCAGATGAATTGCCGCTTCAGAACGGGAGTGTGATCATCCATCTACCTCCAGGACCGTTGTTCACGCAACCTGAAATTGCCGAACACGAGACATTTGAAATCTCCAAGCAACGTGACCATGGCTCAGTCTCCCCTGGAAAAAGCGCTACCAGCTTGTCGCTGGCGCAAGATCTCGCATCTAGCACTTTCTCGACCATAGTAACCATTAATTATCGGCTGGGCTATTCTCCATTCCCATCTCAAGAAGCACAAAAGCCCGTATCAAATTCTGTGGCAGATGCACCAACTAGCGCAGAACCAGCATCGCCAGAAAAGATTATTCATCAATATCCAACCCCAGTACATGATACCCTTGCAGGCTTCGATTGGATCCACCAATACCTGCGGCCGAAGCGCCTCGGGGTCATCGGCACGCACATCGGCGGCTCGCTAGCCATAATGCTTTCCCTTACAGAAGCACAATCCGTCCACGCTGTCGCAGCACTCGAACCAGTCTGCGACTGGACTGGCCTTGACGAGCATTGTCTACTTACTATGCCTGATGCCGCAGAGTCGAGTCCGGCAACTATGTCGACGGCAGCCCCAGCAGCCGACGTCATAACTCAGAAGAAGCGAACCGCAGCGGCCAGAACTAGTACACCACCCACCGCCCCGCACGACTTGATCCCCCTTCTCAAAGCTCGACGATCATACTTCACAGCCCCAGAACGATACTTCGATGCTTTCGCCTCTCCGATTCTCTTCCTCCGTTCCGCGGGGAAAGACGTTCCCCGCACATTCCCCGAGTATCTGACAGGACCGGAGTATCCGATTCCCGTTCTGCAGCCGAAGACATCGCAGGAGATTTTTGAGGAAAGCATTTACAAATATTACCCCTCGTTGTCGGACAGCAGTATGTCGGCTTTATCAGCACACTCTGAAAGTCCAGCCACATCACCCCCACTGTCGCCCATGCTGGCATACCTCAGCGAGGAGGCCGCCGCTGCCGCTGCCGCTGCCACCGCTGAAGAAGAATATATGGATGACGAGGAAACAAATCAGACCGCCATCCGTCGCAGAAAGTCGGTCTCGCGATGGCCGCCGTACGGACTTGATTACGGAATTAGCGGTCCGGCGGTGTTGAACCACCCCAACCGAGGAGTCAAGCGCTTGGATGTGACACTACCGTGGGTAAGGGTATTTGCTCGCGGTGAAGCCGTCGAGAAGACGGAGCCAGGAGCTCCGGCCCCGGTTCAGAAGACCTTAGCGAAGCGAAAGTCCACTGCGGCTAGACGAAAAACCCACTCGGAGCGTGTCCTGGTGCAACAGGCGGTCGATATGGTGGATGTTATGCAGCGAGCTTGTTTTTGGGGTCGGGAGAAGGGGTTCGGGGAGAGCAGAGCCACACTTGTGACGGTTGGGGCGGAGACCTGGCCTACCTCCGCAGAGAGATATGCTGGGGAATGGCTGCGGGACGTGATGATGGAGACTGATAATGCTAAAACATGATTTAGCTCATGCATACCCACCTACAATCGGAACGGCGCTGGTATATTGGGTCATTGATGGGCCTCAAGAAGTTATGGACCCAAGGATTTCCACTACTGATCAAGTCACCTATTCATTGGTGAGATATCAATATCATAATATTCCCATGTCATAGCTTTTTTTCTCGCAAAATACAGTTCAAGTCAGAAGGAATCAATGCACACATTAATCTAACGCCGGGGTGGCGCTGCAACGCTAATTTACACCAGTGGTACCTCGGCAGGCTTGAGTGCCTCGTTCTGGACCACCTCAACCCAGTATCCATCCGGGTCGAGGACGAAAGCCACATTCCGCATGCGACCATCAGTAAGACGCTTCTTCCAGTTGACATTCAGCTTCTCGAAGCGGTCACAGGCGGCATTCAAATCATCAACGGAGACACCTTGGAGCAAACCAGTATTAGCAAGATATCTACCGGCAGAATTGAGGGACGATGTTGCCTTACAGATGTGACCGAAACCCTGAGGCTCGGTGTTACCGTTGTGGTAGACCTGGCCCTCCTGCTTCTCGGTGCCGTAGTTCCAGGTGAGCTCGAGGAGGCCCTCCCACTCGGCAACGGGGTTCTTGGCGTCCTTCTTGAGCTCCGGGTTGGCGGCGGGGTAGCCGAGGAAGTAGAGGTTGAAGCCGGCGGCCTCGTTCTCACTGGTGCGCAGCAGGGTCAGACCCAGGACCTCCTGGTACCACTTGAGGCTGGCCTCGGCGTCCTTGACGCGGAGCATGGTGTGGTTGAAGCGGTAGCTGGCTGGGTCGGTGGTGGTGCCGCGGTCCTCATCGTGGCGGCGGATGATCTCGACCCAGTACCCATCGGGGTCCTTCACGAAGGCGATGTGGCGCATGCGGCCCTCGGTCAGCTTCTTCTGGAATTCGTAGCCGGCCTCCTCCAGCCGCCGGCAGGCCTGCTCGATGTTGTCGACGGAGATGGCGATATGGCCAAAACCCCGGTGCGGCTCCGTGTTGCCGTTCGCCACGCTATAGTTGGGGTTCTCCTCCGTGCCGTGGTTGTGCGTCAGCTCCAGCACCCCGTTCCGGTCGGTGAAGTGGCTGTCCCCGCCCTGCAGCGACTGCGGCCCGTTGTACCCTAGGAAGTACAGCGAGAACTTGTTCTCCGGGAAATCGAGCCGTTGCAGCTGGTTGAGACCCAGGAACTGATAGAATTCCACTAGTCGGGGGGAAAAAAAGAAGAGAAAGCTCATTAGCCAAGACCTGCTCCATACACTTTGCTGCCAGGAAGGGAGAAATCACGTACGGGATTTCTTCGGGTCCTTGACCCGAATCATGGTGTCTATGGTTTTTCCCAACCGCCATGACGTCGGTTAGTCTGTTGTTTCAATGTGTCTGTGAGATAAGGATCGCTCAGGCCATTACTAACGGTGAAGCTTATACTTGGAGGTGTCGGTGGCCATGGTTGCGAGTGATCGACTGGTTCCTGCAATGATCCCGGACCGATTAGCATGATTAGCTTGGGGGGAAGTGGGGTTAACTGCCAGTCCAGATACAGTCCAGGTTTAAGCTTCGGAGATGGATGGAGAAGATCCGTACCAGGCACAAGGGGGAATTTAGGAATGAGGACCCGGGAGAAAGAGGAGCGGAAGAATGGAAGGGAGAACATGAATGGAGGGGAGGAAGTTCAGGAAGAGGGGTAGACAAGAAGAACTAACGAACCCATTAAATAAACGTTCAAGCAATGAGGAGAAACCCGCGAAAAAAAGGTGGGGTCCACGGTGTATGACGCTATCTTAATAATCCACTCCCATGATTAGTGAACCCAATTATGAAGCTATCGCGAATCCAATAAAGTATTCATGAAAATGAGTAGATGGTTTGATCAAGCTCTGGGTAGATATCTTTAGATTCAGAAGAGCTGTTTTTGCCAGTAGTTTGGAACTTGGTGAAACTTGGGGGGTGTAGAATGTCAACAAAATACGAAGTACTCCGTAGGTGATTCTTAAATACTCGGAATGATGTTGGGTCGTAGATCCTCAAATGAGAAGCGGGTCAAAAAGAAGAAAGTGCTAAGATATTGTCGTTCTTGCTAAACTTAACGCTTACTGCATCAAATGATCTCAATTGACTAGTGCAATCATGATACTGTCCGATGGCTGTGAAGTATTCTTCGAGCTTCTCTTGATAGCTGACAAGGCGGTGACCGAAGGCGGAAAGTCACCCCCCACGTCAGGAAGGATTCTGCCGGCCAAACGACCGTAGCTGAGCGTCTTGTCTAGTCGGTCGGTCTGTCGGTCTGTCGGGCTTCGACCTTCTCCACCATCACCTCCTACTTCTCAACATCTCTCCTTCGAACTCAATCCCAAGCCATTGCGGTGCACCACTCTTTGCATTCCTCTGCCTATCTTGACGCGAACTCATCAGATATATCACAATAAGGTTTGTGGCTCTGACCTGCTCTTCATTTCCCTTCTCCCGTCTCTCTAGGATCATCCTCTGCCAGATGATCTTCGCATACGCGGCAGATGTTGGCTCTGGTGCGTGTTGGCCACCTGAACAGCCACGCCCCTAAACTTTCTTCCTTTCTCTTTTCTTCTTCTCGCTTGACTTTGCCTTGCCTACTATGATGCTGCTTCGTGTTCTCGCGTTTGCCTCTTATGCTGGCCATGCACCCGGGGCCGTCATTCTTCCCTGAGACATGCGCCCCCTCCTCCTCCGCGGCTCACTTCCCCGGGTTCTGGAACGTCATTGCGCACCGACCTGCTGCTTATGACTACCATGATGTTCTATATGCAAAGAAAGTCTGGGCCTACGAGCTGCTTGCCTAGTGTCAGCCTTGAGCGAACCAGAGCATCTTGTATCCCTCGCATATCACTTGTACCACCCCCCAGAGTTTTGTCCCCCAAAACATCGAACTGTCTCCCCACAACGATAGCGCACTTGGTTTGCACAACAACTTCGTCTCCTTCTGTTACATCCATCCCCAGTAGCAATCCTGTTCCATCACTGCTCTAGAGAAAATATGGCTGAATTCAAGCAACCGGTCCGACCGGACTATCCTAGTCAGAAACCCAGCGCTCTCCCCGAACCCCCGTACCGTCCATACTGGGAACGAAGCCCAGTTCAATACGCTCAAGATCTCCTTGGATACTCGGAGGACCCGATAGAATACGACCACAACGACCGCGACTACTGGGACAACTGCTTCTTCTTCCCGGAGGACTGTTCTTGGTCCCCGCCGATAGACTGGGTCATCGAGGAACATATCAGCAGTAGCAGCAGCAACACCGGACCAGAAGCTTGCCACGAGCCGTCCACGGACAACACAATCGCCATGATTCCCGGACTTCCAGATATCAAGATGCTAGATGCGGAGGCCCTGAGTGACCTGCTAGAAGACAACCTCTCACCTCCCGAAATCACGTCGATAATGTGTGTACATACATCCGTCCACTGCAAAAAACCTACCGCCACTAGACATCTGCTAACCACACATACTTAACAGAGTCTTTTCTACCAACGGCGCCATCTTCGCCTACGCCTCGACCCTGTCATCCCGCCAACTCCGCAATCTAAGCGCCACCTACGGCGCAGCCTATACCTGTTACGCAAAGAATGCCTCAACGGGCAACCTTACCGGCGTGAACCCCGCCAGCCATCCTTCGTCATACGTGACCACTCCCTCCGTTTCCCTCGGCGACGTCGGATCGATTGTCTTTCAGCTCGACGACTCGGTCGCCGTTGTCACCCCAATAGCCGACAAAGTCCTTCTGGCCGCCATCGGACCGTCCAAGTTGGGCAGCAACAGCGCCCAGGATGCATCCGCCAGCACCACAAACGGTCACACACACGCAACCCCGAACGGCTCCACGCACCACCACCACCACCACCACCATGCATCAGGCGCAAACACCCCCGACTCCACCTCCAACAACACCCACAATGTCCGCACCTACGCCAGCGTCGTATCATCCAACACCGGGGGCGGCCGAAGTAACGGCGCCAGCGCTCCAGGTGGTGGTGGCGGCGGCGGCGGTGACACAAGCGACACGCAAACAGACTCGCACCTAGAGACCCAATACGAGATCGACCGTAGTAGCGACCTTGCCCGTCTGGCAACGCTGAACCTCTCCGCTTCGCCGGAGATACTTCTCGCCCTAGAGTCCAAATCCGCCGCCCTGGGTCGGTTCCTAAGCCAGAAGCTGGAGGACCTAGAAAGTCCGGAGGACTTCTAGAGCCCCGTCGTCGCTCCCACTTTCCCCTGCCCTCGTATCCAACCAGCTGCTGCCGCTATACGCCTAATGGTCTTTCAGATCACCCGTGTTTCAGAAGTCCAGCTGCTCACTCAATTCCCCATACCAAATCCGGAAACCACATTTGGTCTGGCAAGCTGGTTACCTAACTTTTTGACCTGAATCTCCAGCCATCTATTCTTCTTTCAAACTCTCTGAGCGCGCTCGTAATATCATCGTCATCGTCGTCGTTCATCACCGTCAGCAACATGAACATCATCATTCTTCTATCTGATGATACTGTCATCAACCATTTGGGCACAGATTGGGCTTTGCGTGATATGAGTTCAAGCGTATGTATTCCCATTCGCACTTTTTTATCTATTGTGCCCTCGAAGCGTCTTCCGTTCGTCGCTATTTCTACTGTTCAAATACCATCAAGTCCATGGATCAATTTATTACAACCTCGTTTACCTTTCTGTCCTTTTCACAACGAAGGAAATACTACGGACATGGTACACAAAGTCAGGGTGTCGCTCACTCATGATAGTAGACCAATACAATCCAGCTTTCATTAGCCAAACTAGCAACAATAGCACTAGCATCCAAGGTTCAATACATTAGAAAAACGTGTTGCAGAGCAGCGGCTTGTCGCTTGGTGATTATAATCAATACAATCAAGCTACGCCTCCTGGCAAATTGGAGGCAAATGGGGAGAAAATATAGGACTCGGAGATCAGAGGCAAAGGATAACAAAAGAGGCCACAAGTGATTTGGTTCCTTTGAACAACCAACATAATTCACCGCTTAATTAGAGCGAAAACAGAAAGCAGTCAACTGTGCTTAGATCCAAGGGGAAAACCCGACTGACTACATTAACAGACCGCTCAGGCGGTCTTCTCCACAATAGGGGAAGGAGCTTGGGCACCAGCCGCAGTAGCAGTGGTGTTGACGGTGGGCAAAGTGCCGGTACCGCTGGTATCGGTGCGGGTGATACCGGCAGGCCCAGCGCTGGCGGGAGCCGCGCTGGCAGGGGTGATGGGAGTCTGGGCTTGAGTGGCGCCGCCGGCGGAAGCAGCCTCCTTCTCAGCGTAGGCGGGGGGCTGATTCGTGTCGATGGGGGCGGGGGTGATCGGCGACGTGGTGGTGCTGCTGCTAGTGTGTGCCGGACCACGAGTAGCGTCCTTGATGATGGTCCACCATTTCTCGGCCTCGTTCGGGTTGGTGGCCTTGAAGCTCAACTCGGTGTTGGTGTGGAAGGCGTTTCCGACCTTGCCTCCAGAGACGTCCTTGCCCTTGACGTTAAACTTGACGCCGTCGATGGCACCAATGACGCAGTCGGGGAGATAGAGGGAAAGCTCAGGATGAGGGTCCTTGCGAAGGTCATCGTTGTCCTTGAACTCGTGCAGGTAACGAGCGGGGGTCACGACGTAATAGCCGCTGCTGTAGCCCTTAAGCATGGCGCGGGACTTGCGCTCAAGGAGGCCCTCAATGAGAGGCTTGGTGGCACGGTGATCCTGGTTGGGGAAAGTGATATTGGCGAGAGATCTTGGAGGGGCGTCAGGATTGACGAGAATATGGTCGTTTCGGGTCATGAAGTTGACCCATTCGAAGTCAGGCGGAACGCGCTGTGCAGAGGCAAGTATGTCGCTGTACATGGTCCGGTGGCGGTCGAGCTGGGTAGTCATGTAGACTGTGAACTGCTCCATGGCGCTCTGAACGGTTTGCAGGACATGGGCTTCGAACTGCTGGAAGTTGTTCTGTACCGCAATAATGTCTTGACGATTGTTATTCTCCTCAATAATCTGCTTGTTCAGGCGATGAACAACACCCCGACGCAAGATGTAAGGGTCGTGCGCTGTGTCGATCTTGTTACCGTGGGCCGCGTCCAGCGTGGCCGTGTGCTGGGCGAGCAATTCGATATGCTTTTGAGTGACTCCTCGAGCCTTATCGACGGCCTTAGCACCCTTCGCAGCTCCACCCTGGAGCTCTTTGGACTTGGCCTTGATTTCCTTGTGAAGGCGCTCAAGCGTCGGAAGTACGGACCCCTTCAGGTTCTTCTCCGAGTCGAGATACAAGTTTACCATACCCTGCGCATCTCTTAGCAGCTGTGATTGATTCGATAAGATTCCAAGTTCTGGCAGCATACCTGAGTGTTGGACCTGACGTTCTCGAACCATGAAGCAACTCCGCCCACACTTTGAGAGAAGTGGTGCCCTTCCCGGAGCGGCTCATTGACAGTCTGCGCATTTTATTACATCTCAATCAGCATCTGACGCGACACAGTTTCATGAATAGGCGAAGGTCCCAGCTTCGCGCACCTTCAAGACCTTCTCGAAATCCTTCGCTTGCGACTTCGAGATCTTGGCAGTTGTCGAAACATAGTCCTCCAGGTATCCACACATGTGCTTCCAAGCTCGAAGACGTTCAAGGAGAAGGTTGGTGGTCTGACGAGCAGAAATAACAATTAGCACAGTCCGTAAGTCATATGTCCTCGAGGTTTGCGATGGTTAATGTCTTATCGCGGCATACCTCATTGCTATCGGAGTCGGGAATGGCCTCGTCGTCACTGCCCGAGGTGCGCCGGGTCATGGTGCTCCCAATGGTCGCCGTACGCTCAGGGAGCTTTTGCTCGATGGGGCTGGTTGTGGCCGACATTGCTGCTATGATTTGGGTTGAACAATGGATATGGTTCGCAAACACCTGGTGGTCGGAGCGGTCGAGTCGATCGAGGGCAAAGATGACAGGTAAAGGGAAAAATGCCGCTGCTGCGGATGCGCAGGAGTGGAGGAGCCGGAAGCGCGATCGAAGACTAGTCGGATGATTAGGGGGGCTTGTCTTTGTCGAGTTCCACGCTGAAGCGGAGGTGGGGCTCTCTGGTCAGGAACGGGAATAGGAACTGCGAATGTCAGTCACGGCTGTCGGATGACGACGACGGATGGGGAAAGAAAAGGGGGAACAGGACTGAAGGGTAAAAAATCAAAGTAAAATGACATACAGTGCAGTCAGTCTCTCCCAATACGCAGAGATGGTTTAGAAGCAGACGATCGAGGATCAAGAGAATAGAAGAGGGGTTGAAGGCGAGTTTATGAGCAGCTCGTCGTTCGTCGAGAGGAAAGGGGATCGACCGATGAAGTCACCGCCCATGATGGATTGTCGTCGACCCCTCCTTTTCTTTTCCTTTTGACTTTTCTTTCTCGCTAAGCATGGACTGTACTGTACCTCACTCAATCCGGACAGGCAGCTAAATTCAGTTAGGCCATCATCGAGATGCAATTGAGAGAGCCCAGAGCCCAGAGAGCCCAGAGAGCCTAGAGATGCATCGGGAACTCTGCAAGCAAGCATGCCAATTGCAGCATTGGGGAAGAAGTGCAATGGAGATGCCCGATTCCGGCCCCACTATTTCCTCTCACACACCTTTCCAAATCGGGCGCGGCACAAACTGCCGCCCGCACCGCCACCCCATCCCCAAAATGATATCATCCCTCCCTCCGCAGCGGAGGGCATACAAGGAGCACTCTACACAAACAACTTGACAACTCACGTATCAATATGACCGGAATATCTTCTTCAAGTTTCATGATTCAATTCAGATCGAGCCATAATGATGAACTATGTAGTCTCATGGTGTCTTTCTCTTTTTTTTTTTTTTGATGCTTTGAAATACATAATGCAGAGATCATATGAACTGCTGCTGGTCATGACCGTAACTCGTAATGTACTCATCTTCCGAATGAAGATTTCAGAGAAGAGATCCAGAGGTAAAGAAGTAAAGAGAAGAGAAGCAAAGTAAGATAACGCCAGGTTCTTGTCCGTAATGTCCCAGTCCTTCTATTATTTATTTGCAAACGCCATGTATTCCATCTTCCTATCCTTGCGCGCCAATCCAACCATGCAACATGCGTTTAAGAAGTACCGTCGTGAGATCGATGCTGTTGTCAGGAGACGGTGTGTGCGGATTGTATTTCGATGACATGAGCTAGGGTGTAATGCGATGTTTAAAGACGTCCCGCGTCCATTCGTAGTGGATAATTATGTGCGGTTGTAGTATGTTTGCTGATAAGCGGGAGGGGAGCCGGCCACGCCCAGAATCGTAGTTTTTGCGTATCTCGTGATAAAACTCGAAAGAAGCACGTTGAGTCGTTGATCACAAGCGACCTAGGTTTACCGGGCGCGAGCTTGAACGAGACGCAAGCGTCGGTCATCATCGTCGTGATGGGGAGCACGAGAGCCGAGAAAGCCAGTACGAGTCTGAAGGGAGTCCAAAGAAGGCAGGTATGTGTTGCTCCCACGGCTGCGGATGTAAGCCTGCTGGGGGGACTGGGGAGTGGAAGAGACAACGTCCTCGGCGATCACCGCTTGATAATCCGGCAGCCCAGAGTCGCACGGGCGCACACTGGTACGAACGGCTGTAGAATAACTAGGGACACGGCTGAGGGTCTCGACTTCGGCGTACTGGGGATGGTAGGGAGTAGCCATGCCGGAGTGAATAGGGTCGTGATCAATGACTTCATCCGAGGGGCGTCGGGAAAGCTCTGGACTGGCGGGACTGTGGGAATTTGAGCCCGAGCCCCCGGAAGAAGGTCCGAAGTAATCGGGAGGAACGCCAAGGCGGCGGGTTTCAGTATCTGAATGATGTTCGTGTTCAGGCGGCGAGGGGTGATTGTGTAGGTTGGCACGAAGGCTTGACAGACGGCTATGCAATGCAGACGCTGAGATATCGGTGTTGGTCAACGCATTCATCGAAGCAAGATTTTCGACAGAGATGTTGCGGCTAAGGGCTCCGAAAGGAGTGCCAGGACCACTTCCCGGTCCTGGTGTTCGGTAACCCGATGGGTCAAGTTCACTGTACAACTGATCGAACTGGTGCTCGCCATACAAGGGAGGAGCTTGCTGAGCGATGTCGCTGATTGCTCTTTGTGCGGACTGAGGGGTCTGATCGATCAAATTGTTGTTCTCATCGATGGCGAGGTTAGGGGAGATGAAGATAGAGACGGGGAGTGTAGCGCGGAGCTGTTGAAAATTAGAAAGAGATTTGTGAGTATCGGGAACTGAAAAATGCGTACCTCGCTAACATGACCATCGGGGTTAAGGAGTTGAACACGGAACTTGAGCTTATGGCGGATCTTGATGCCCCGGGTGTCTGTGTCCTGCAAGCAGCGAGCCAGAGTCTTCGGCAGGTCCAGATAACGCGTGAACTGGTATCCTTCAGCCATCTCGTCGATAACATCGAGGCCACTCTCTTCGTCAACTTCATGCTCATCATTCAAGATAGTGCGAGTACTCTTGTAGGTGTTGCGAATCGAGTCAGGATCTTCAGGGTTGAGGGTGAGGTCGTGACTCTCAATAAGCTGAGAGACAATCTGGCCGATTCTGAGTCCCTTCAGCAAAGGGATGAGCTTGAAATCCACACGGATGCTGGTCCCAAAAACGACAGCCTTGGTCGGGGTGCTGATGGAATATTCGATCTTGTTGGGCCAAACATTCTCAACCGACTGCGACGTTTGCGGGTCAGTGGGCATCGCAAAGTTTCCTGAGGTTGAAATTGCTTACCATAGCGTGGGCAAGCTCGAGGGCACTGGCCTCAAGAGTACGAATAATGCGAAGAGGCCTGCGAACGATGATGTCTTTCATATATTTGCGTCCGATTTCCGCCTTGAAGCGATAGGTGACATAGGTGTCGGTAAGACCTTCAACACTCTCTGGCATTGAACCCTCGAGGACGATGTCGAACGGGTACTCGTAGTTGCCGGCCGGCAGAACTTCGGTTTTGCTCTTACCCGCCTCTCTAAATCGCCACGTCTTTTCGTAGAAAACCTTCTCCCTCCAGGACTTTCTACCACCGCCGGCAGTGGTGGAAGGCAAGTGCCAACTATGAAAAGATTGTTAGTGAGCGAGATTCGGGAATTTGCGACGGGTCGGACGGCATCACATACCAGACACGAGAGATTCCGGTGAGGTGGAGTCGGATGTGCTTAATAGAGAGAGGTTCAGAGAGACAGAGAAGTAGCTTTCCACTCAAATGAGCGCTGGCAGCCTCTTCTTCACCTCCTCGGAAGACAATATAGTCTTCATCTAGACTGTATGGCGCAAGGGAGGGGCATGTTAGTCAAATCGGAGTTGCAGCCGGCATACCGGAGTAAGTGCGATGGAAGTGACTCACCGAATATCGAAGTATTTCGCGTGACTGGCGCCTCCGGCACCGAAGAAACTGAGAGCCATGACGTCTTATTCTAACAGCTGCTTATTTGCAGCTGTCAGGAGAGCAAACGTAGGCCAGGTAAGACGAAGGTGTAGTTATGTCTGGAAAGGTGGGATGGCAGAAAGTGAGTAGTGGATGTGGGAGGGGGAGATAGATGTATTAAATTAGACTTGCGAAAGGGAGGACCCAGCCAGGGAAAATCAAAACGGGAAATGAAAAAAAGGAAGAAGATAAAAGAAAAGAGGGAAAAAAACCCGCAATGATGCGACGGGGGGCCGAAAAATAAAAAGGTGTAAAAAAAAAAATTCAAAAGAAGAATAAGCCTGGCCGTGATGTGCTGGGCTGGCTTCTCGAGTGCACTGCTTGGGACTGCTTAGGAGTGCCGTCCAGATTCGATTTGCAGACCAAAAGTCCAAACGGGGTCGACAACGGGTCCCACAGCCTAAGCAAGGAAATGGTGGTGGTGGAGCCTTGAAAGTGCAGCCGTTTCCGTCACTGGGTCTTTTTTCGGAGTGTCGCTCGTGAGGCCGGCTGTGGCAAGGCGGGAACCGTAGTAAAATACCCAACTAGTCCGAGTAGTACGTAGTTTGAAGGATGGATAAATTGGATTTAGGTAGGAGGGCAAATGGGATTGTGAGAACCGGAGTTGATGCGATCAACTCCACAGAGAGAGAGAGAGAGAGAGAGAGGGAGATGACTAAGCCCGACACTGAGATGTCGTGTCGACTAAAGATAGAACAGGATGAGATGATGAATGAGATAATGCGATCAAACTCAGAAAGGTTCTGGAATGGCGGTTAGTCAATCGATGATGAACAAAGACTAACTCTTCTCCACAGAGTCATTCACTGAGGAAGTCTCCATAGAGTGAGACAATAGAGAAAGAAAGGCATAGGCCAGCAAAGGTTGTATTCGAGCAACAAACAAAGCAGATATTGTGAATGAAGAAAGGGTAAGAAGATGAAAGGGACGGATTGACTGCCTACCTCAAAAATTGGTTTGCGAGTGCAGGAGCAGAACAATGGCAGAGAGTATGGAGAGTTACTTCGTACAAGGTAATCCTAAGCCAAGAGATAGCATACAGTGACATCTGCAATCAGCAGGATCCGGAGGACCTTATTAGTCTCATGAGTATTAGGTCTGACCCTGAGAATTTTTCCGTCGCCTGAGATGCTTCGGGGTTGAGTCGATCACGCCCTCGTAAGATCAGCCCTAGACGGCTGTCTGGTTATCCGGTGGCCAAAGCCTACACGTAATTCAGGTACGCCAGCCACACTGAAGAGTAACGATAGCGCCGATCAGTATGGCGATAGGGATTATTCGCACCATCTACAGAGGACATGCGTAGTCTACTGTGGAAGTGGCAGTACACAGTATGAGCACGGAGTATCTCAGCTGTATGTGTGCATACCTCGGGATCATCCTTCCCGCATGATGATACGCGGTCTACGGAGTAGTCTAGTCTCCTTGAGGTAAATCACCCTCAAAGTCGCATCTTCCCGCTGCTACTGCCCGCTGCTACTCCCCGACCTCATCCATGTCTCGAATCTCTTTTGGATATGAGAAGCAGCCAATATCTCTTCTGTTACTGGATCTCATGAGCTCTCACATACACTACCC